GGTTTTTGGTTCCTTCCCACCAGCAGACTGCTGAAGCTTATAGAGAATCCAGATGTTTTGGATTGTTGGGTGTTTCTGTCTTTGTGAAGCGCTATGAGATGACTGTTGTTGTAAATATGCGCTACACAAATAAAATTGAATTGAAATGAGTTTTTACCTGTATCTGCTGATTCCAGTTAAAATGTTCGGGATTTTTCAAACAAAGGTTTAAAGACAGATTTATTCTCCTTGCTTGTCCTACTCTGGGAGTTTAGTTATTGTTTCAAACAGGCTGTTAATAGTTTTACAGTCTTCAGGTATCAGCCTTCAGCAGACTTCATACTTCACTGATTTATTTTTACTTTAGTTCATACTTTTTTGAAGTATATTTGTTTTTATTACATTTTGAGACATTTAAAAAACTTTTTCATTTCTAGGATAACATTTTGTTATTTTTATGACTTGGTTGGCTTTTTTTCTTTTCTGCATGATGGCGCCGAGGATGGCTGTCACGGTATGTTGGTGCACACTGTTGTGTCTTGTTTTTTGTAGTTAGTTTAGTTTTTAGTCAGTGTTCTGGGAGCTCTTACACTCTCTCTTACACCAGAGAAGAGCTCATGAACATCAGGGCCACAACCCCTGAGGATTTATTCCCAGAGTTTATTGCGTCTTCCGTGGATTTACTGGACATTTTAGTTAAAGGTGCACTCACTCTGGCTCACGCAGTGAAGCGCCGAAGGAGAGGGAAACGTGCCGGTGTGCTTGTGCGTCTCCGTAAGCGTGGACGGCACACATCTTCACCTGGAATATTTCTCTCCAACGTGCGCTCACTGGGAAACAAAATGGATGAACTTCAGCTAGTGTTGGGGAAGGACAGAGACTTCTCTTCATCTTCTGTTTTGTGCTTCACGGAGAAATGGTTATGTGGAACGACACCGGACTCTGTGCTGCAGCTGGCAGGATTCTAACTGTTCAGAGCGGCTCGCCACACGGAGCTCTCCGGCAAGACAAACAGTGGAGGTATCTGTTTTTACTCAACCAGTAGCTGGTGTAACGACGTGACAGTGATCCTTCAGCACCGCTCTCCTCATCTGGAATCATTCATTATAAACTGTAAACCTCGTGAGCTCACTTCATTCATTCTGGTCGGTGTTTACATTCCACCATCTGCCAACATGCAGGACGCACAGCGCACACTCGCTGACCAGATTCTGGATGTGGAGCGGACCTACCCGGATGCTTTTCTTATCGTGCTTGGTGACTTTCACAAAGGCAACCTCACTGAAGAACTCCCCAAACACAGACAATTAATTAACTGTCCGACCAGAGAGGAGAACATTTTGGATCACTGTTACACCACATTAAGCAGTGCTTACCATCTGATTCCTGCATACAGAGACTGAAGCTCTGTAAACCTGTTGCGAGCGAATCAAAACAGTGGACCAGCAAAGCTGTGGAGCAACTACAGGCGTGTTTGGACTGTACAGATTGGGATGTTTTCAGGACTGCTACCAATAGTCTGGACGAGTTTACAGACCATTGACGACCTACATCAGCTTTTGCGAGGACAGCTGTGTACCAACACGCACCAGGGTGAGCTACAACAACGACAAACCGACAAACCCTGGTTCACAGCTAAACTCAGACGGCTCAGGTCAGACAAAGAGGCAGCATTCAGGAGTGGGGTGGAGATAGTTTCAGAGAGGCAAAGTACGCATTTAGCAAGGAGGTGAGAAGAGCTCAGCGTCAGTCCTCTGAGAAACTCCAACACCAGTTCTATGAGCATGCCTCTGTGTGGAGAGGGCTGAGGCAGATAACCAACGACAAGCCTCAGGCCCTCAAAGCTGCTGACGACCTGCGTCTGGCCAACAGCCTGAATGAGCACTGCTGTAGATTTGAAAGACAATGGGACAGTCCTGGCTCCATCCCCCACCACACCTTTGACCAACCACGACCCATCACCGGCCCCTCCACCATCACAGCAGGAGCCTCAGCACCCCCCCCGCCACAGCAACACCTTTCTCCATCCAGGAGAAAGATGTCAGCAAACTGTTCAAGAGGCAGAAGCAAGGCAAGTGGGCCGGAATCTGATCAGCACAGTGCCTCCACCCTGAGGCACTGTGCTGATCAGCTGTCTCCAAGTTCCAGCCTGCTTCAAGGCCTCCTCCATTATCCCCATCCCCAAGAAGAAGAGGACATCTGGACTGAATCTGTGGTCATGAAGTCATTTAAGCGCCTCATGCTGACCCACACCTGGACCCCCTGCACTTCGCCTACAGAGCCAGCAGGTCTGTAGATGACACAGTAAACCTGGCTCTGCACTTCATCCTGCAGCACCTGGACTCCCCAGGACCCTGTGGAGTCCGTCTGCTTCCTGGACACCATCATCACCCAGGACCTCAAATGGGAGCTGAACATCAGTTCTCTGATTAAGAAAGCCCAACAGAGGATGTACTTCCTGTGGCAGCTGAAGAAGTTCAGACTGCCAATGAAGATGATGGCGCACTTCTACAGCTCCATCATAGAGTCCATCCTCACCTGCTCCACCACCACCTGGTGCGCTGCAGCGATGGCCAAGGACAAGGCCAGACCGCAGCCAATCATCCGCTCGGCCGAGAAGGTGATTGGCTGCAACCTACCTTCTCTCCAGGACCTGCAAGCCTCCAGAACTCTGAGGCCGAACCCTCCCACCCTGGACACAAACTCTTCCAATCACTCTCCTCTGGCAGGAGGCTTTGGTCCATCAGGACCAGAACCACACGCCACAAGAACAGTTTCTTTCCGTCTGCCACCGGCCTCATGAACAATGCCCAGGACCAGAACTATACCTGGCAATAAATCTGTTTCTGATTCTGGTTAAAACTGGGGATAGTTTATTCCTTTTAATTTCCTATTCATGTTTTTTATTTTATTTTATTTTTTATGCTTTATTCATTCTTTTGTATACTTTTCTGACAGTTTATTCATTTTCTTGCATTTTGTGGAATTTAATTGTTGACATTTTTAACTTACGGTGTTTTTAACAACAGAATGTTTGTTGTGTCTGCAAATTAAACTACAAAATCTGTAAAACGATGGAATGGAGCTGAATGAAGCTCTGGAGGCTGCGGGGTTTCTTACGGTTTGTTTCTGCGGTGCTGTGAAGCTCCTCTCTACTCCTGCTAGCATCCAAACGCGGTAACACACCGACGGATCTGAGCCACCGCAGCGAGTTAGCCGCTGTTAGCTACTGTCCGTTAGCAGTTAGCTGCTGTCTGTATCTCTTAGCTCCGGTTAGCCGCTGTTAGCTACTATCCATTAGCAGTTAGCTGCTGAGCCTGTGACCAGCAGCTGTCTCCGGGTCTCCGTGTCTTCCGTCCCCGCTGAATGTCCATAGAACTCCGGCTCCAGGCGGCTCACCTGCCCCGACAGCCCGCTCCTTCTGACGGAGGCAGATTTTCGGTGAGTGTGTCCGGTGCAGTCGACCCTGTCTGCCCGGTGTCACCCAATACCGCGGAATAACAGTGAGGATCCTCCGGTGCAGCTCGGACCGCCACAACCGTCAAACGGCTCCGCTTCAAAAACTACACTTCCTGTGACGTCACTGTGGCTGCCGGCGGCACGGCGACGTCACCACGTCCTCTGCTTGACGTTGATCAGTTACCAGACTGTGGTTAGAATCCTGCAAGAACATCTGCATCCGACCTTGAAGTGTTTTGTTTATTCTGAAGTTTATCAGTCAAATCGATTGATCAGCTGAATCACAGCAGGATGTCTAAGCAGCAGATTTTCCCTGTCAGCGGCTCACTGTGACATCACAACAATCAATGCATTGGATTATTGATCAGTTGCTTTTCATGCAGACAAAAAGCTTTACAGAACAAAAGGAACCCAAAACTTAAATCAGCACACAAAGCTCTGTACAGTTTGCATTAAAATATTTTATTTTATACTACTGTGAGATTTTTAAAACAGCTGCTGCTGAACCTGCTCCACCTGTCAGGTGTGTCTGCTGATGTCATTGGTGGGCAGTCCTTCGGGCTCCAGGACTCACAAGCTTCAGAGCAGTGGCAGGTCTCTTTAGCTCCTTCATCACGTGCCGACCTAGAGCTTTAACAGGCTGGAAACAGGACTGGGACCTGCTGGGATCAGAACCCGAAGGAGCTGGTTCCGCTGCCTCCTGCGGTTCGGTGTCAGTGACTTTCACTGTAACTGGTTTGTTCTGGTGAAACAGGGACTCCCGCCGGGTCGTGCAGGGGCTTGCAGCCAGTGCAGCGCTAAAGCCGTACGGCGTAGTCACCTTCGGGACATGTGACAGCGACATGGCCGCTCGGGTGGTCAGGTCTGTGTCTGCAGACTCAGCGGCGCCGCGGCGAGGACAGAGCAGGAACTGGGAGGAAGTGGCGCTGGGAAGGTCCTCATGGTCGGACAGCAGCCTGCTTCGGTCTGGTCTGGTTTGCTGAGGCTGTGGAGATGTGAAGATGAGCGGACTGCTGGACGGGATGAAGAAGCTCGGGATCCGGTCTGGAGTCAGAACCAAAGATCGCAGATATGACCCGGATTTAACGGACGGCATGATGCCTGCAGAGACACAGGGCTGCAGACTGAGACCTTACAAGGAAAATAAGGACAGAAAACTCTGCAGTTATGTGTGAGTGATCAGGATATCAATCTGTTACCTGATCAAGTATCAATACACACTCCTGGATCCGTTTCTTCAGGTGAATCTGTTCTGACTCAGTTCGACAGGTTTACCTGAACAAGAGGAAACAATACATTTTAGTGGAGTCTGTCGACTCAGTCATCCAGGTCATAGTGATCCTTGGAGCTTCATTAGAAACCACCTGGACTTTTCAAGGTTCTTGAAGATGTTTCACCTTCATCTAAGAGGCTTCTTCAGTTCTAGTTAGCTGATGGGAGTTTCTGGTGGACTGCTGAGTGTGGTCCTGAGGAGCTGCTCTCCTGTAGTTTATTCTCTCCTACATGAAGGTCTGTGCTCTCCTGTGTTGAGCCAGATGCTTGTGAAGCTGGTGTTTAGTCTCTCCTATGTACAAGTCTGTGCACTCTTTGCTGCACTGGACTGCATATAAAACGTTATTCTGCTTGTGTGTTGGTGTTCTGTCCTTGGGGTGAACCAGTTTCTGTGTTGCTGGGTCTGAAGTGCACTAGGAACTCTGGTTACCCCAACTAGGCCTTTATCAGAACAACAAAAAGATCTAGAAAATGCAGCAACACAAAAAAGAAAAGAACAGGAGGAATAATGTTGTTATCCCATAAATATCTAGAGTACCTGAAAACTGAAAATGGATTTTCTCCAAGTATAACATACCAGTGCTCTTTAGAGCCAGCAACACAAAAATACCAACACACATGCAGAGCAACACTGTATATGCAGTCCAATGCAGCCAAGCGTGCACTGACTTGTACATTCAACTATTTCATTTTGCAGGCACTCTTATCCAAAGCGACGTACATCTGAGAGTGAGGACAGACTGAACAGCAGCTTCACAAGCATCTGGCTCAACACAGGAGAGCGCAGACCTTCATGTAGCAGAGAATAAACAACAGGAAAGCAGCTCTTCAGGACAAGACTCAGCGGTCCCCCTGGATCTGAAGGATCGGGAAGAGTCCTTTGAGCACAGCAATGTCCACATTTTGGACAGATGGTTTGACAGAGTGAAGGAAGCCATCTATGTCAAACTGGAACATCACATCTAAACAGAGGAGGGTCTGCAACACCTCCTACCAAGCACCTAGAAGGCAGCAATAAGGTCTCTAAGAAAGTTTCACTATCAACAACGTCTGGAGTCCCGACATGGCAGATTCAGTTCCTTTGTTGTGTAAAACTGGAAGCTCCACCACCACAATTGCTATCATTGTTGTTGTTGGACCACCTGGTTTCACAATCATTCACACCTGGAGACAGGTGAGTCCTGATGATTCATGGGCCATTAGCCATGTGAGCTGGACTGACAATAGATTCTGGAACTCCCCATCAGGCAGTTAGAACTGAAGAAGCGTCTCAGATGATGGTGAAATGTCTTCAAGAACCAACAAGAGAAGTCCAGTTGGTTTTACTGAAGCCCCTTTCTCCCTGGTCTCCTGCAGATCAAAAAAGTTAATGATAAAAAAAAGCAGATCAATAGTTTCACATCAGTTCAAACTAACAGTTTCTGGAGCGGAAGTCGATTCACCTGCTCGGGAGCTGCTCTGACGGGTCATAAGAGCAGCAGCAGGTGGATCCAATCAATCAATAAATCAATGACCTGATCAGAAGCTGCTCACTGTCACACCTGCACACCACCTTAATTAAGGTAGAAACTCAGAAGCATCGTTATGATCAGGGGCTGCAGGTGTCTCGGTGGTTAGCACTGTTGCCTCACAGCTAGAAGGTCGCCGGTTGGCGTCCCGGTGAGGACACCCGGGATCTTCCTGCCTGGAGTCTCCATGTTCTCCCCGTGCAGCGTGGGTTCTCTCCGGGTTCTCCGGCTTCCTCCCACAGTCCAGAAACATGCTGAGGTTAATTGGTGATTGTAAATTGTCCGTAGGTGTGAATGTGAGTGTGCTTGGTTGTCTGTCTCTAAGTGTAGCCCTGTGATAGACTGGTTACCTGTCCAGGTGAACCTGCCTTCACCCTGAGTCAGCTGGGATAGGCTCCGCCCCCCACCACCCGAGTGAGGATTAAGGATGAATAAATTATTTTAGTTTCCGGCAAAAAAAAAAAGAAAGGATTTAAATGTACATTTTGTCAGCACTTAGAAAACCATCAGTGCAGTAACTTTAAAGTCCATTTTTATGTCTGTTTTAATTTCTTTCTCCAAATATGATCAAAACCTTTTCTTTGCACTCTTGTAACAGGTAGAAGTTTTAACTTTAAAACACCAGAATAAGGGCACCCCAGTAGTTTAACCGGATCAGACGGCGACCCATGAACAGGGCTGTAGTCCCCGATGAGGCGGCCGCGGGTCGAGTCCAGCCAGCTTCTCATTTGCTTCATTCCTTCCCCCACGTTCCTGTCTCTCTACTGTCATAGCAAATAAAGGCAAAATAAACCTAATAAATGAACAAAAAAACCACCACAATAAAACCAACGAACAGCTGCTGAGGTTTCACTGAAAAAACAACTTTGTTCTCGTAAACCGGTGGTTTGATCGAAAACAGTGTCAAACATGAAACCTGCATAAAGCCTCAGGTTTAATGTGAAGGACAGAAGACGTCAGTAAAATCATTAAAAAAATCTCAGTTTGGTGCCTCTATTTAAAAAACTTTTCACATTTTCAGTGAGAAAGGCACCAAACTCCACTGAAATGCTCACGTTCTTAAGAACCAGACAGATGACACTCAGAAACAAACATCAGTTTTATATGAAGATGTGATGAAACAACAGGTTTGACTGAAAAAGAAGAATAAGACAAGAGCCACCAACAGCCGCATCGTCTTCGTCGTCATCATCATCATCATCATCATCATCATCGTCGTCGTGTCCGCTGTTAAAAATCTGTTTGGTTTCAGAGTTCATAGTTTTCCTCCCAGTGCATCCTGGGAAATCAGCCACACGGCAACCGTCGACCCGCTCGGTCCTCGTCTCCATGGAAACACAATGAGTCTCAGCCCGTGAGGGTCAGTTCATCACATGGATTTAAAGTCTGTGGTGTCTCAGAGCCCCACCCCTCGTGGCGATCAGTGCGTGTCATCGGGGGGAGGCGGGGCCTCTTCCGGCGGGCGGAGTGGCTGGTTGGCTGGCGGTCTCTGTGGCAGCTGGCGTGTAATTGGTCAGAGGATCCGTCAGTCGCTGTCAGAGCCGACGGCCGATGAGCCTTTCCTCTTCCTCTTCGGAGCTTTGGGCTTCGAGTCCTCCTCCTCCTGCAACACAGAACCGAGTCAGAACCAAGTACAGAATCACATCAACAACTGCTTCTTGAACTCCATCAGAACCAGGTAAAAACTGAGTCCAGGACCAATCCCTGGTCCAGTTCTATTCAGACCTGTATGGTGGTCTGGTTCTGGTCTGGCCCGATTGGCTGTCATACGTACCGAGGCGCTGCTGGAGGCGCTCTCCTCCTCGTTGTTGGTGGGCGGAGCCACTCCTTTCCTGGAGCGCGGCGAGGAGGCGGGAGCTTTACGGCGAGACTTCGGAGGCTTCGCCTGAGAATCTTCGTACTCCTCAGCGAGCGCGAACAGGTCGCTGAACCTGAGTGATGTCATCGGGAGGGGAGTGAGGTCACGCTGTGAGTCTGTGTGT